GGGGTTAGGCTTAGGTGTTAATTTTAGGTTTAGCGTTTACAGCGTGCTTCTGTCTCCACGCTGTTGTCGCGCTGTTGATGACGTCAGCTACGCGGTTTAGTCGAGCGCGGTTTAGTCGAACGCGGTTTTGTGGTGGAACCAGAATGCAAAGGACCAGCTTTCTGCAAGGCATATAAATCCTTCCATTCCCCACCATCCAGTCAGAGCTGAAGAAGCTTCTTGGATGAGAAGAAAGTCCAGTTGCCTGTTGGGGAAAAAAAGCACCTTGGGAAACGTTCCTGTGCAATTTCATGTTGTCAAAACTGTCTGTCATTGAGATGTTTTGAATTCAGACAAAGTTTCAAGTCCCTGCGGCTAGGACCAAATGAAAACAGGGATTAAGTAGAGGCATAGACACCCTAGATCAGGGGTCACCAATCTTTCGGACCTTAAGGACTACTAAATTCATATTTTAAATCCCGGGGACCACTAATATGAATGTTTTAAAAAGATAAATAGTATTTAGTGCTATGTAAAAAAAAATGCAGATAACTTTTCTGCAGACCACCAAAATTTTCTCATGGGCCCCCAGTGGTCCACAGTCATCTAGTCCAACCCCCTGATCACTGCTGGATTTGCTACAGCACCTCTGATTGAAGAGGAGATTTAGGAACAACCTGTCATCTTTTTCAAGGGTCACTAGGTATATGTTTTGTTCTGCGTGTGCAGCTTACTGGGTTGATAGGATTGCAGCTGTAAATCAGGCCAGTCTTAAAAATACTTGACTGAAAAGGGAGAGAGTTGCCTAGCAAGGCAGAAATGTTGCTGGCAGAGCCTTTCCTATTAATCCGTCATTTCCAGTGTGAGCTTCCCCTGTTTCAGCTTTGTTGTGTTGGCAGATTGCTGTTAAAAAGTCATTGCAAATATATAAAAGGAAAACCTGCATGGTTTATAAGCTGGCTAGCTTTAAGATTATTCTATAATACTTTCCTGATTCTGAATTTAGAACAGTGATTCTTAAAACTGGGGAGGGGGAGGATTTCCCCCGAGGGAGAAATTTGGGCACATCCAGGGGGGGCTAATGGAGCAATTTGTAATTGCTTATTTGGGAGTTGAGGATCCATTTTGGGATTGCTGTGGCTGAGACGCATGTGTAAAACTAGCTTTTTTGTATATTTAAATGGGCGTACTAGTATTATTTGAGGAAAAGGGATAATTGGCTGCGACAATTTAAGTGCCGCTCTTTTAGAATACATTTTAAGGCCTTGCATCTGTTCTCTCCTCCCAAATCAGTAATGTTGATTTTCCTCATCAGCTGTTTTGTTCATTATTTTTATGTTGTTAGAATGATGAGGAGAGTCATTTTGAATTGGGCAGACTTACAAATTCCAGTGCGTGGAATTAAAATAACATAAACTGCTTTTGACTTGTGTTTCCAAGTAGTCCTCGACAGGATCACAATTGAGCCCAACATTTATGTTGCTAAGTGAGACCTTTGTTAAGTGAGTTTTTCTCCAGTTTACTAACTTTCTTGTCACGGTTGCTAAGTGAATCAATCACTGCAGTTGTTAACTTAGTCACGCAATTATTAACTGAATCTGGTTTCCCTGATTGACTTTGCTGTTCAGGTTAGAAAATGTATTCAAATGACCCCAGGACACTGCAGCCGTCATAAATATGAGTCAATTCCCAAACATCTGAATTTTGATCATGTGACCATGGGGATGCTGCAAGGGTTGTGTGAGAAAAATGGCCGTAAGTCACTTTTTTAAAGTGCCGTTTAACTTCAAACGGTCACTAAGTAAATGTTGTAAGTCAAGGACTACCCAGATAGAAAGCTGCTTTCAGACCATTGGTCCAGCATAGTATTTTCTACACCAATAAATATAAAGCATAAATACAATGTTCTTGCTTTTCCCTGCCCCAGAAAACGTGAAAACTGCAGCCAGAAATGAGAAGGGATGAAAATTAAATCCGTTGGGATTCTTATGTGCTTATAAAAAGCTGGTTTTCCCACATCTGAAGAATTATTATGAATGTACTGCATACTGTAATCTTTTCCCTTCTTCTTTTTAATTCATCTTGCAAGGGTACAGAGAATTTTCTTCTTGTTAGCAACTGGGACATTTATCAAGAATTTTTTTTAAGCTGCCCTGGAGGATTTTGGATAATTTCTATAAAGGATGGCAGTCTGAAGGAAGGAAGGAAAATATAATTTGAACACAAAAGGATGCTCGTATCTTTATAGGCTCATTTTGATAATGGGCTTGGGGAACATCAAGTAATCAATGACAAAACAACTGCTTTTGAGAGAGGAAGGGAGGGAGAGAGAGAGGAGAGAGAGAGCAAGAGAGCATCCACAGACAAATGGTTATCCACTCTTCTTAAAAACTTCCAGTATTGGAGCACTTACAACTTCTGGAAGCAAGCTGTTCCACTGATTAATTGTCCGAACTGTCAGAAAATTTCTCTTTAGTGCTAAGTTACTTCTCTCCTTGATTACTTTCCATTCATTCTTGTCCTGCCTTCTTCAGGTGCTTTGAAGAAAAGCACCTGAAGGTAGGACAAGCTTATTTGTGGCAACCCTTGAGATATTGGAACACTGCTATCATGTCTCCTAGTCTTTCTTTTCCTTAAACTAGACATACCCAGTTGCTGCAATTGTTCTTCATACATTTTAGCCTCCAGTCCCCTAATCATCTTTGTTGCTCTTCCCTGCACTCTTTCTAGAGTCTCCACATCTTTTTTACATCGTTTTATAGTCCCACCCATCTGTTTTCCAAGAGACAAAAGCTATGAGGATGTACAGGCTGTCCTCGACTTATAACCATTCATTTAACGGCTGTTAAAATTTACAACGCCTCTGAAAAAAAGGGTGTTATGACTGAGCTTCACATATATGACCATCGCAGCATCCTGAGTTACAATATGGTTGCTTAGCAACCGACATACATTTATGATGGCTGCAGCATCCCAGGATTGCTGCTTTCCCAGCTGGCTTCTGACAGGCTAAGTCAAAAGGGGAAGCCAGATTTGCTTAACGGCCACGAGATTCACTTAACAACTGTAGTTCTACACTTAGCAACTTTGACCAAAAAAAAAAGGTCGGGAAATTGGGCATGACTCACTTAACAACTGTCTTGCTTAGCAATTGAAATTCTGGTTGTTAAGTCGAGGACTAGCTGTTCTTCCACTGAGGGATACTTGGAAGCAGTGGTCCTATCTCTTAGGATCCTGGCACAGAGGATTTCTTGTGTGCATCCCCTCCCAACCTTGGTAGGTAAGAAAGTCCATTTTCCCCAAACATGAGAATGGTGCGGTGGCTTAGAGGTAGATCTCTCGCCTCACAATCAGGAGGTTGTGAGTTTGATCCTAGACAGAGGCAGATATTTCCCTCTCTGGGCACACGGAGAATATATCTGCTGAACAAAACTCCGTGTTGGCGGCAGGAAGGGCATCCGGCCATTAAAACAATCTGCTAGCTCCATTCAGTTGCCCAGACTCCACCCCGCAAGGGATTATGGGGTCGTTAAATGAAGATGATGATGCATAGAGGGATGCCACTTCCCCATTTCTTCTCTATCGAGAACCACATACACTCATCAATCATTCTTGGGAGTTTTGAAAAAAAAAACACAAGCTCATTGTCAGGACATTCAAAAGAAACAACAACCTTCCTCTCATTATTTCTCTAGCTTTATTAACATGTTTGGTGAAAGCCCAACGTATCAACTCTACATCATTAAGATTTAACAAAAATGAAAATAAGCATCATTTGAGAGCCTACATGAAGGAACAACAGATGTTTTAATGTTGGAAGATCACGGAAGAGAGAGGTTTGCCTTGGTGGACAGGGTGTGTATTTGTGCTAAAAAAAAAAAAAGATTTTTGGTTCCCCCCCACTTTCTCTAACCTTTCTCCTTTGGGACAAACCTGAAAGATTTACTAAAAATCTACTGATGAGAATCGAGCTAAAGATATGTTTGGTTTTGGCCTCTGGCTTGGCCTAAGGAGCAATTCAAATTTCCCCCGCTCTTTGAAATAACTAAAGAGTGAGAAAAAGGAGAGCCGACTGTCCTCTAAAAAGAGAAAGTTGGCCGATATACGATGGCTTTGCACGCTTACACAAGATTACCTCAGAACTGGGATAAAACTGACACCCTCACACAGACGTAATACTCTGGGATAATTACCCCCCCCCCCAAATTTAAAAACAGTCCCCTTTCCTAAATTACTGCAATCCAAATCTTGCTCTTTCGAATTACAGGTGGAAATCCTCTTACTATCTTTGGGGAGCTCCACCTTCCTTATTTCCGCCTGTGTTGCTGCTTGCCTTCTACATCCCATCCTGCGATCCTTCCCTGCAGATCCCACCATCAACAAGGAACAGCAACACAAAATGTCTATGTTCATGAAGAGAGGAGCAGGGCTTCCGAAAAAAAAAGAAGAAGCCGAGTAAAATGAAGATTACACATTATTTAACCAATGTTTTTAGGCCAATTCCCCCTTCTCACAAATGGTTGGGCTGTGTATGACTCGGGAACATTTTTTTTCTGACCATCTCCGTTCCGACTTGCTCCTATCCTTTCTTTAATGGGGTCACATTTTTAAAAATAATAATAATAATAAAAGTGGGGGGGGAGTTCCGCAACCACATCAAAAAGGTCCAACATCCGTGGGCGGGTAAACAGATGGGAGGCTAAACCTGGAACACAGTCCTTTCTAAACAAAAGAAAGGGACATATTTTTTTGTTTTAATAAACTTGTCACAGTAAACAATCCATCACTGGAGGACCAGGGAGTAGGTGGGAGGTGAGAAGAAACACACTGCTGCATCAATAATAAGGGCGCCGAGGGTTGTTCTGGAGGAGAAAAAGGGGAAAAAGGACAAATTCAAATCATCATTGGTAACAGAAGGCCAGCAGAATGGGAGACTCCAACCCAACAGTGACATTTGAAGTGATCATCACAGTTGTCTGACATCACATTGGGGGGGGGGGAGGTGTTGTTCATGGTTTTAACCCATTGGATGAACCAATCATGTTTAATCCTGAAAGCTCAGAAAGTTGTAATCCATTCTGGTGTAGCCAATAAATGTGATGAAACAATCCTTGGTGCAACGTGTGAATTCGGCCGTTCTTTGAATTCAAGGGAGAAGCAAAACCAGAATAGGCCAATGTTCTGCATCCACAGAAACCATCCACCTGCTTCCCGCAAGTAAACAGGCCTTGTCAAATGCAAAACTGCATGGTACCTTCACAAGTGCAGTTGTGACGATGCAAATCACTACTGTATTTTTCAGAGTATAAGTCGCACCTTTTTCCCCTCCTAAAGAAGGGTGAAAATTTGAGTGTGTCTTATACAATGAATGTAGCCCCACCCACCCACTCACCGTCCCCCACTCTTTGGCCTCTGCCTCCCAGCAATTTACCTCCTTGCAGCAAATGGGGAAAATGGGGCTTGGGGAGGCAGCAATGGGCTATG